CGAGGCTCGGGAGTCCCCCCGGGAAGGTAAGACAAGGCTGCGGGGGGGTAGGGGTAGGGAGGGGGAGCCGCGCGACGCCCTGCCGGCCGGGTGTCACCTCATTTTCTGAGGTGGCTACCTCCCTGTTTTTGCAGATGCCGTTCCCGCGACCGCCGCCCGCCGGCCTCAGGGCAGAGAGAGCACGGAGGGGCCGGGGGGCCCGTCTCCCGGCGAGCTGACGGCCATTCAGTGCAAGAACGTCCCTGATTACCTCAACGACAGGACGGTGCTGGAGAAGCACTTTGGTCAGTTCGTAAAAGTTCGACGGGTCATGACCAGGTCCCTGTTTTTGCAGATGCCGTTCCCGCGACCGCCGCCCGCCGGCCTCAGGGCAGAGAGAGCACGGAGGGGCCGGGGGGCCCGTCTCCCGGCGAGCTGACGGCCATTCAGTGCAAGAACGTCCCTGATTACCTCAACGACAGGACGGTGCTGGAGAAGCACTTTGGTCAGTTCGTAAAAGTTCGACGGGTCATGACCAGGCGCAATAAAAAAATGGCTATTCTCCACTTTTTTGATCATGTGAGTGTCGAATGGGTTGGCACAAGAGCAGGCTTAAATCTTGAGTGCTTGATACGGGTCCAGCTCTAGTGAGATCTGCAACACTGTTTGGTAACACGGTGTGTTTTTCCCCTGGGGGAAAGCCTTGTATTGTGAGCACTGTATTACAGACAGGGATAGAAGCATACTGAGCTGCAACTGAAGCGTGGTAGCTGCCGGAGCTATGCCTGGCTTTAGCTGTCCTGTTAGCATCCAGCTCAAACACCAAATAGATCTTCCCTGTTTGTTGTCTCATGTTGCCCAAACCCGAATTACATACGCTGCTGCATTCTTGCTCAGGCTCAGCAGCACCAAGGGCAAGGGGAGCTCATGCCATCTCTGTAGGGTGACCTGCTGACTGTAAATACTGCCATTAAGTCAGTGCTGAGGTGCATTGAAGAGCCAATTCAGAGACTCTGTGTTCTGTTTCTGCTCTGTGCTTAAAAGCATACCTTCAGTCTTAAGCGCTCTAAGCTGGCTGTAGCAAAAAGCAGTGATTTTTGTGGAAACATGCCCACTCCTGCTGGTTGTGTGTAAGTCTTAAGTGAGAGGTTAAAATGCATTAACCAAAATTTTATGGAAATTGGTAAATGTTTCTCTGGTAAAAACTGTACTGTGTGTTTTGGTGTTGTTATGCTAATAGGTTTTCATACTCCGCTTTTGTTTTCTTTCAGGCCTCTGCAGCTCTTGCCAGAAAAAAAGCGAAATTATTGCATAAAGACATAGTAACATTTTGGCAAAAGAAGAAGACAAGTAAGTTGGTGTTTCCAGATATGATTTCTGTGTGATACATAAACGACTTGGCATCTGCTCTGATCTTGTTTCCTGATGTGCTGAGATGGATACAAAGATGTTCTCCACAGTAGGAATGTTACAGTTCCAGAAGTACGATGGTTCTCTTTGACTTTTTATAATCAGACTCTGTGCTCTGGGAGCATTGAAGGTTATTCTTTACAGAAGCATAAAAATAGTTCTGCCTTTTATGTGACATGCTGGTTAGTTTTGTCTGGCAAAGGCTTATAGTGAATATGCAGAGGAGGGGAAAAAGAACCGGATGAAACATGTAATTGGCTTCCAGACTAATTTCTCAGCCTTTAACGGTGTATGACTCGGGAACCCTGGGAGCCAGAAGGGGTGTCTTAGGCCTTGGTGAATTTTTCTCTTGTGAAGTTAGCCAGTTGCTTTTGTAAGCTGTGTAAACTTCCAGCATCCACAGTACTGTTCTCTGGTATTGAGTGAGCTTGAGTTTGAAGTGAGCGACTGCAAATCACAGTTGGAAATTGCACTGTTTCTTTCTTAAATTCTTCTAATTCTTGCTTGATCTGAGCCAAAATGCTGTTTCAACTATACGAAAGAGTTGAAGACATTTGAAATGCCAGTATAGTTTTACAAGAGAATTTAGAAACCAATTATGCAGCCACACAAAAGGAATATGGTGATGTTAACTTTGTGCTCCTATCTAGAAGCAGGGTGTTCTTTGGGGATGTAAGAAAACCCAGTTTCAAGTGCCTTGCTGCCTGCTTCAGTGCATGGGCTGGGATGTGGGCTTCCAGCTTTCAGGAAAGCTCCTGAAAAGTTAGAGTATCTTGGGGCAAGTGTCTGTGTTGCTGAGGTTGCTGTTCTGTGTGTCAACAATTACATGCTGATTGAACCAGAAAGAGACAACAGTGTGTTTGGTTGGCCTCCCAAGAACTGAGCTCAAAAATGGGAAAACCTGGATTCCAGACCCTGCTTGGGATTAGGGTGAGAGGTGTGAACATCAGTTGTTCGCTCTCTAGGCAAATACTTGAATTGTTTAGTGCTTCCCTTTCTTTAGCTTTTAGACTGCTGCGTGTGTGCATTTGAGATACACTAATGCTGTCAGCAAAGGAATGGTTCACCACAGCTTTGACCAACCACAAACTTGCCTTCCAGAAAATGAACAGCTGCAGAGTTGTCTTCCTGAGAATTAATGTCTTGAAGCAGCAGCTATAGGGGTGCCTGGTTGCCTTTTTCATTTTATTGTGATGTTAAGTCTATAGAAAAGTGAATGGCAATATTCTAAAATAACTAATCTGAGAGAATTTAAGACATCCAACTGGTTGAAAATTTGTTCTTGGGAGAAGAAATTCTCCCTTCCTGCAAGTTGCAGATGAGAAGGCATGCCAGTCTCAGTCTAAGCTAGGGTATGTGACATAAATAATTAAAATGCTTCAGCATGAGCACTGGGAATTGTGTTTTACATAGGTGAAATGGATTTCATATCCTGTAGAGACTTATGACTTGTGGATTATATCCCAAACCTGAGAGAACTTAAATTTGGATGATGATGAGACTTCATTTACTGACAATCTGATGACCAGTTATAGTTACTGCAAAGTCATATTTTATTGAAAAATACTGATTCTTTATAGAACAGTGAAGCTGACTAGCACTTGTTAGACTTACTTGGTACAGCTTCTAGTGCAAGTTGTCCTGGAAGCCTTGCATTCATGTACAAAACTGTGATTCTTAGTTTTATTTTCTCATAGTTTTTTTTAAACAGACTGCTCACCACTACCCTCATGGGGAAAAAAGAGTTGTTGCTTAAACTATTTGGCAAGCACCTGGCTTCATATTTATATGTTACTTCAGGTCCAGCAAAAATAGAATTTTCATCCAAGGAGAAAAAAGCAGGTGAAGATGAAGGAAGGCAAAGCAGTGAAGAGCAAAACTATCAGCATTCCCCTCTTCGAAAACCTTTAATAAGATCCTCTGCCGGCAGTGTCATGCCTGGTAAAAGGTATGTCTGCTCCTCTGGGAATCCATCTGGCAGGAAACAGGGTGCATGGGGAAAAACAATGATCAGTGTGTGCCAAATAGTCATGTTCTTATTGGGGAGTGTGCTTCCCTGGTCTCTTCTGGTTTGCCTGAATTACAAGCTCACAGATCTCATGCTTTGTCAGAAAGATAATTCTAACTGCTTATTAAGGCCTTTTACTTTGGCCTGAATATTTCTTTTGAATATTTTGTTTGTAACAACATGAGTAACAACACCTGCAATAGTGAGGCATTAACTCCCAGTGCTAGATTTAGCTCATAACAACCTTAGTACATCAATGCATACTTCATTTATGTGATATGTTGCCTTGTGAACAAAATATTCTCCTAAACAGAGACACTGATGTCCTAAAGAACAGTGAACTGATTAAGTCTGGGGCGTGCATTAGTGCATTATGGATAAAAAAAAATATTTTTATTTTTAGTTCTCCGGCAAAGAAGCCTGGTCTTCGAAAGGCACTGCAGTTTGAAGCAGATCTGTTTGATGCTAGTTCTGAAGGGCAGAGCTCGGAGGCCTTGGGAGCTTCATTGTCATCTCTTGGTAACCTGATAGGATTAGTGGCTGAGACATCTGAAGAA